CTTTATGGACAGAAAGGATTTGTGGAAATAAAAGTGCAACTGTGACAAAGTAAATAAATGACTGCTCAACTGTGCAAACGTGTTTTGGTAATAAATGGATCTGTATAGACATTTATTAAAAGTCCAGAACCGTATTGTGCAGTTCCAGATCGCCTCGTCTGCCTGCGACAAACAGCACGTATGAACAAAGCGCCATCGCTTCATCCTCCGAGACCGAATGTGTGAAATCGTCGTAACGAGGGTATCAAATCGGGCTTCGAGAGGTCTCGGTTACCTCAGACTGCATTCCGCCGTGTTTCCTCCGTGAGTCCATGAGGACGTTTCTGTGAAACCTGAAGAAACTCGCTGCAGGTCTCCAGAGACGCGACGCTCAAACGGATCAATAGGCAAATGTTCTCACACGCCGTGGTAATAGATCCGCTTAGAAAATTCCCCAAAAAGGGAGCATTTTGTGCAGGTGAGGCAACAACACCGCATGTTGCATCATCCGGTTTGTTTAAAGAAATTAAACTCATACTTGAGTGACTCTTCATAACGCGTCGTGACGAGTGAGATTAGCTCGTATTACCTTTAAAATGTTGAGAGAACAGTTCAAAAAGTCACAAAATACAAAACTAGCATCTTCACATTGTCAGGTTTGTCTCACAAAGAGTTCAAAAACTCAGTCATTCAATAAGCACACGTACAAACACAAAGGAACCACGTGGATTAGCTCAGCGTCGGGATGCGCCCGATCAACACGGCCCCCTGTTGTAAGAGGGGATTCTGATACACACACACAAAGTTCACAGGTCACCTACAGACTGAACACATGGACCCCCCCAAACACAATCCTCCACAACACCAGTTTGTATCCGGCACCACAGACTTCATCCTGCCACCACGTTTCCCTGAATTGGACCTTTTTTTACACAGCTGAACTGGTGTAAAAAGGCCACGAGCAGCAGATTCTGAGTCAGCACCAAAATACATCGAAACTAACGCATCAGCACCGAGACAACGTTAACCTTCATCCAACATCGCACGAAAGGAGCAAACTTGTGTACAAGCGAGTGTACAAAAATAGTGTCCAGGAGTTGGGCTGGAGGTTGAACCCAATCAACTGAAACAAAGTTGGGTAATTCGTACAATTAGGATCAGTTTGGGTTCCATTTTAGCCAAGACAAAGTTAGTTGTATGGCTGCTTGTGTTCAGACTACATTAAACATTCGAGAGCTTTGTGTTTTACGGCTTTAGCAGAAATTAAAGCATCGTGATGGTACTGAAAGTCAGGTATTGTATCGCCGCTGACTCACTGGAATGAACTATTCCAGAATGACACGCAGCTCTGATTAAGTGATGTAAAACCACTGTCCTCCATGAGACTCAAGGCAAAGCCCCTCAGCGGGTCACCGGTACTACTGCTCCTTTCCACTCAGCAACCTGCGGCCTGAGCAAGTATGGGACGAAGAGAGACACCGTTCAACATCAACATCCTATCGCCACGCAACGTCAGAGCTGCCCGATTGATTCCCCAAAACATGCAGTTACACACATCAATAGGAGACAAGAAGTCACGAGTCTCCATCATATAATGAATGTAACCATGTGAGGCCTACGGTCACATTAACCGCATAAAGCAGCCAAAACGTAGAAGCAGTAGTGGAATAATAAACAAATAAACAACTGAAAACAATCACACCATTGGTGTGAACTGTGACTCAGGCAAAAACAGTCATACAATAATTCATTGTGCAGTCAAAGGCGTCCTGGAATTGGGTCTTCAGAGTACGTTTGTGTCAGTTCACAACGTCTCCAAACACAAAGCCAGACCCTCAGAAGAATGGAAGAACTTCACTGGGCCGCACAACGCTGCGACCTGGAGCCCCATCACCCAGAATCAATAACCCGTCCTGCAGACGCCCTGCACGCCGAGGTCTCCTGTGAAGACGCCCTGCACGCCGAGGTCTCCTGTGCAGACGCCCTGCACGCCGGGGTCTCCTGTGCAGACGCCCTGCACGCCGAGGTCTCCTGTGCAGACGCCCTGCACGCCGAGGTCTCCTGTGAAGACGCCCTGCACGCCGAGGTCTCCTGTGAAGACGCCCTGCACGCCGAGGTCTCCTGTGAAGACGCCCTGCACGCCGAGGTCTCCTGTGAAGACGCCCTGCACGCCCAGGTCTCCTGTGAAGACGCCCTGCACGCCGAGGTCTCCTGTGAAGACGCCCTGCACGCCGAGGTCTCCTGTGAAGACGCCCTGCACGCCGAGGTCTCCTGTGAAGACGCCCTGCACACCGAGGTCTCCTGTGAAGACGCCCTGCACACGCTTAAGGCATGTCAGGTAAACCGTGTCATGAAGGCATTCCGCCCAACGCTCCCGCTGCAGAATGGCGGCGGCCAAGTTCACGTACTTTACCATTGACTGTAAAACATTCCAAAAAAACAACAAAACAAAAAAAACAGGTGGCAAGGACACAATCAGACATTTGTGCACACACTCCCACACTCCCAGGGAGTCTTTCTAAATTGCTGGATGTGTATGGTGTCCGGGTGGAGGGGGCTCCTGAGGCCTGAAGGAGTGAACGCACGCTACCATCAGGTGCAGGACTGTAAGTGCAGAACCCCCCCCCCCCTCACACACACACACACACACACCACCACAAGCTCCAAACACAATAGGCTGGACCAACACAGGAAAACCACAAAACAGACCAATGAATCGCTGCATGGTCACGGCTTAGCAGATAGTGTTATAACACACACACAAACACACACACTGAAGGCCGCTTTGTTCCCCGTGTCACGGACACCCCCGGAAGGTGCAGCGGGGCCCGGTTACCGGTTAGCGCGCCCGGGCGGACGGCTAACTCGTAGCTATAACAAGGGCAGCTCCGTATTTACGTTCGCGTCAGCGTGTGTTGACGTTGGAGCCGCAGCTGAAACGGGCTCTGTGGCGACGTTTAATTTGACCCTGGAAAGCAGCACGCGTGAGGCTGACGTGCACATAGATCTTTATTTATAAATATATACATATACATGTCTGTCTATGGACGTGCACGCCCCGGCGGTCGGAAGCACATTACCGGAGCAAAAGAAAACATAATATATGCACCTCGATGCAGCCGTTAATGTTAGCTTATGTTTTACATTCAAGAGACAGCCACCAACAACCAGCAATTTACACCGTCATCTCCGTGTGACGGGTGGCTGCCGACGAGCTAACGGTCTTTTTTTTTTTTTTTTTTTGCTGCGCCTGCGAGTGTGTCTCCCATCCGCAGAAACAACGGGCGAGCTAGCAGACGACCTGACAAACACATCAAACAAAGTCAGGCTAAACTAAGCTAACTCTGCTAGCCCACAACCTCCGTGCAGGAGCGGCGACTTAGCACAAGTTAGCATCCGGGCAAAAATTAAAAAAAAAACGTCCCCGTGCACCGGAGTCGCACAGCGCCGAAGGATTTGAAGTCGTGGCCGAAATGTCACGGACAACATCGGGGTGACACGGGGTTATTTTTTTTTTCGCTGCCGGGGGGTGAATCGGTTTCGGGAGCTAGCCCGTGTGAGTTCTGGGAGGAGTGTTTGACAGACAGGCCCCAAAAAAAAAAAAATGTGAAGTGCCAATGTGGAAGGGGGAAATAAAATGGCATTCATATCAATAAGCCGACACGGTGCGACACGAGCACACGGTCTGTCACCGGCTGCAACGCCGTCGCTTCCACGGTCGCTCGTGGCCACCGAGTCCGGACGGAAAGGGGAGCTGCGCTCACGAAAACACACAAAGTTACATATGGCTAGCCGCCGATGCTAACGCCAAGCTCCAGTGGACAGCGATGCTAACACACCGAGGCGCTAACGTTAGCTCAACCTCGTCCAGTGGCCAAAAACAAAAATGATTCCCGTACTTACTTTCATTTAAAACCTCCACCAGCTCGGCGCAGTTTTCACACATTTTCACACGGAGTCAAACCATCGCACCGGGAGCTGTCCGTCGGCTGGCAGTTGGTTGTTTTTGGGGTATAAAAAAAAAAAAAGGCCCAGTGGAAGGGAGTGATTGGTGAAGGTTATCCCCAACAAATGGAGCCGGGGGCAACAACAAGGCGGAGAACGGGATTTGCATCCAAGCGAAGTTGACGTACGCCAAAAAGTTAAGAGCAGCTGGAAGGTAGAGAACGAGTCAGTGTCCAATCTGAGCGTTACTTGAGAGAGTAGACACAGCAGCCATGATGAAAAAGTGTGTGTGTGTGTGTGGGGGGGTACACAGAACAGATAGTTCGGGACTTTCCGTGCTATCTCGGTCGTCCGTTCGGGTTTCTTCGTTACTCTCGCGATATCTTCACAACGATGCGCGACCTTTTCCGGAGATCTCAAGGGCAACAGCAGGGAAAGTTGTCCTTAAGATAAATAAATTAATATATCATCTCCCGTTCATGCTTTCAAGAATGAAACGGAGTTAAAGGTTTCTAACTTACATGCCTAGCACTTTATACATTACAGCAACATATGAATACATCAAAGCTTACTTTATTTAGCAGTCATATAACAATTATTTTAATTGGATTATTACAGTTTATTTACATCTTTATCTTGTTAAGCGACTTAATATGATAAAATCCATAAAAAATAGATTTAGAACGACAGCAGATAATTACTGTATATAAAAAATAAAAGCGTAAAATATGTAATTATGAATACAAATATAAAAAAGTACAATATATATTTAGAAAATAATAAATAAAATAATGTACCTGAACAGTAGTGAAAAGAAACCATAGATAAAAACATGAAGTACTGTCACTACACACTACTACTGAAGTTGTAATACCACTGTGTAGAAATACACTCCTAATTAAAAAGTCCTGTGGTCAAAGTTTTACTTAAAAATGCACTATTAACTTCAAAACATACTATTATCAGTTTGCAGAACGCCCCATTTCAGAGTAATTTGTATCATTGGATTATAAGTATTCAGCCATGTGGACACTATTTTAATAAAATTGGAATCAATTGAAACTATACCTGGACAGTTCAATCTTTATCAATCAAACATTTATTTCAGACTCAGGGTTCAAACATGACAAAACAAGCCAGAAACACAGAAGGATTTTATGGTCACTCATACACAGAATTTATTAAGTATTGACCAACATTTTCCCGTCACTGCTCTTCTATTAACATCCGTCATTGTGAGCTCGTTTTGTCGTAGCGTGCAGTGAACATGTGCAATGATGAGCTTCAATCACACGTCCAGACTGTTACCAGACAATTAGAAGACGTTTGTCCTCGTTGGTTCTACACATCAGAATAGCGTTCTATTCTAACTGGCATTATATTGATAAGAAGTTGTATTATATTTTCCATCAATCTATAAAGCCTCTTAAATTATCAACCGAATTTGTGGAGTAAAAAGTGCAATATTAACATAAAAACAATCTAGCGTGATAGAAATCAAATGAAGTAGCCCGAAAACAGTACTTTCTGGTTACATTCCAGCACTGGAATCCATTTATTGTAAAAAACCTTTGAGCTCTGAGGTAATGGAAGGAAAAGTACAAGAATTCCTGACGTAATCAGTGCAACATTTACACAACTGTTGGATCCCTAAATCAGACTCATGTTAAAACTATCGTGTGTATGTTGTGAGGCTAAAATATAGACTATGTTCACCAGAAGCAACCTGCTATGAACCTTCCTACAGGCTTCTGATCGTTCCCTTTCTTAGTGAACTGTCTGAACTTTAAACTGTTTGAAATTAGTCAACAGACAAACGTCATTTAAACAAATCCCAATTTCCTGGACGCGGCGCTGCAGCGTTCCTCCTTCACTCGTTTCCCGTCACCTTCAGGGCCAAAAGACGCAGACTCACACGGTTTGGATTGATTGTTTTTTTTTTTTTTTTTGTAAAAATAGCCAACTTTATATTCTCCAGAGTACTAAGACAGCTTTACAAACAGGATGAAATGCACACGGCCTTCCTCCTCATCCCCAACGCAGAGCGGTCCAACTGACGCCGCCCGAGAGGCAGAGAAACACACTGACCAACCGAAACCAGGCAAAGCGAGGAAGTACACGTCGACCCCCTCAGCGCACTTCAGAAACCAGAGCAGGCCGTCAACGCTTTAGACATTATATATTACATATTAACAAATAGAGGTAAAGGGATTAAAAAATAACCTTAAATTCTTATGACTTCATGCAGGTGTAAAGTAACCGTATGGCCAAACACAAAGCTTTAATCAGCAACAGAATTAACAAAACATGGCATATTACACTCACAGAAAAACACTGGTATAAAATAAGTTTGTTGAGAGAAAAAAAAAAAGGAAAGAAGAATCCGCACCAGGGTTGGCGGGTCGGAGGGGGGGTGGGGGCGCATTTACATATTGACATTTATTTGGTCGACGTACAACCGAGTGCTGGGGTCCCCACGGCCCCTCATTCTCTTCTCAAACACACGCTCACTCACACGCACACACACTCGAAAAGAAAACTATTCCCGCCCCCTTCAGAGCCGTCCTGTACACGCCGCTCGCCGCCGCTTCAGTCGCACATCTCCTCCGGCAGCTCGTGGGGGTTGAGGATGCCGGGCACCGACATCTGCAGCTTGTGCTTCTCCTCCTGGGCCTGACGCAGAGACGTCTCCCTCTCCTCCAGGAACAGGTCCGTCGTGTCCTCGCCGGCAAACTCCTGCAGGGCCAAAACCAGCGGGGAGGAGTCACAGCGGGCATTTAAATCACACGTAAACGCCGCCCTGAAGACCATCGTTTGCTAAATGATCATCGCGCCGTGTTGAACAAGACTTGAAACTAGAGATCGAGACCGTAAACTCATGTTTACTGAGGGAATCAAGAGAGAAGAAGAGTCATTTTCTCACAGACTGCTCTACAATCAGGAGTCGCTGGTCACTACAGAGAATGCAGCTTCAACACCAACAACAGCATCGGCTCCACTTCTCAGATTAGGAGAACGCAGCTTGATTTTAACCTCAGCAAAGGAAGTATTAAATATGGATTGAAAAACTAGAAAATACCTCATGCTACTTTATTCAGATTGTATTGAGTAATTGGTCTAATTCTCATTGTCTACATCCTCCGTGGTAGCTCACCTTGATCTGCACGAGGAAGTCCCTCAGGTGCTCCTTGAAGGCGGGGATGTCCTGATTCAGGCTGAAGAGCCCCGTGACGAACACCTTCACCTGGGCACTGAACACATGGACCTCAATTAGCTGCTAGACTCAATTAAAATAAACGTTGCACAGTCCTGGAACATCAAAACTCTTATTTTCTGTTACAAACCAAACCGTGGCTCAGTGGAGAAGACTTACTCTTGCAGGTGGGGGAAGGCAGTCTTCAGCAGGTTGGCGATGTACTCCTGGACGTGCGCCTGGTTGTTGGCCGGACTGGCGGCGCTCAGCGCGACGCTGACCTTCCCCTCCTCCACCAGGTTGAACATGTAGGCCAAGATGGTGGCGTGCATGGTCAGCCCTGCAGACAGGAAGCAAGGGGGGCCAGTTAGGTTCCGCGAGATCGGGTCGGGTTTGCTCCCCCACTGAACAGCTTCCAGCGCAACCCGCTTGCATGCCAACGAGGTTAGTGAGGAAACGAGCAGTTTGTCCGTTGTTATTCTTAAATTCTAATCAGAGGGCGAATAGACTCAAAAGAAAAAACAAACATCTGTCAGGGAACCATTTTCTTACTTGTGTCTTTTAAATGTAGCATTTGAGGACTGAGACTTACCCGTCTCCTCCGTTTATTTAATCTCTATTTTACACATTGTATGTGCCCAGCTGCCACGCCATCAGCCCCGCCCCCTTACCTGCAGTGTGAGAGGTGTCCGTGACCACGGAGAAGATGTGCTGCAGCACGTCGCAGAAGTACGTCTGGTAGAAGCTCTGCGCCGCCGCGTCCTCCGCAGACACGTTCTGCAGCAGCGTGTAGAGGATCTGGAGACCTGCGGGAGACACCGAGACGTGACCTCAGTGGCACAAAACACGTGCACAGCTCGGACACGGCGACTTTAACATCCGTCCATTCATCCAACTCGGTAACTAATCGCAACGTCGGGGCCTCTCATCTAAAGAGGAGCCTTCTGGATGAAATGTTTCGGCTGCAACTTCAGTGAGAACGTCGTCATTGAAAACTACATTGAGCCGTGTTCATGTTTGAAAGATACCAGGAAACAGTTTCTGCACAGTTACCCATTTTCTGTAAAATAAAACAAAAAAACAAGGATTTGCAAGCATTTGTCAAGCCTTCTGCAGAAAGCGCTTCTCTGCGTTCGGACCTGTGTCGGCCACGTTCCTCATGGTGTGCTTGAAGGCCCAGATGATGGAGTCCAGGATGAGCTTGAACTGAGCCGGGGCGATGGACAGGAAGGCCGGGAAGCACTGCGAGGTGGCGGCTTGCAGGAGGTAGAAGAAGTGGGTTCTGTGTTCTGGGAATTCTTCAAAGTCCTGACGGGAGACAACGAGTCGTTACAGCCTGCAGCCAATGGCGAGGTGATTAGAAAGAAACGGGACCCAGAGGAGGGGGGGGGGGGGGTCAAAAGGACGCCAGCGCACCTTGTTGATCATGTTCAGAGTGCACTCAAAGACGGCGTCGAAGATCTTGGGGATCTCTCCCGTGATGTGCACGCCCAGCTTGTTGACGATGGTTGCCATGGTGCTGAGGACCTCGGGCTCCCGCGCCGCCGGAACGTTCCTCTGGTAGTCGATGAGCACCGCCTCCAGCAGGGGGGGCACAAAGTTCTCCCCCACCTGGACCACAGGGCAGGAACGAGGTGCTTTTTAGTTTTATACAATAGGACCGATTATGAGTTTGATTTAAATTACACTTATTTAACTTCAGTAAAGTGATGTTTGAAAAAAAGCACACTCGCCATCTGAGGGTCGTTGGAGCGGCTGACCCAGCCGGAGATCAGCTTCAGCGTCTCTCTCTTCACCGTCCTCATGCTCCTGATCAGAGGCTGCTTGGTCACCATCTCACCTGCAGGAGCCATTAACAGTCTTCACCCATTTCATACAAAGTCCTTCTTTCAAATTATACAACGACGAGTAAGAATGTTAAATAACAGATGCAAATTGTAGAGCATTTACAACATGCATGGAAGTCTCCATTATTTTATTAATTATGATTAGAAAATCTTCACCAAATCACCACCGCACATATCACCTCCTCATTATTCCTGCGAATCCTGACCATCACAGAGCCTCTTAAATCATTCTCCCACGTCCCGCGCTCACCGTTGGTCTGCACCGCGGAGGAAATGTTCTCGCTCAGGCACTTGTAGACGTTGAGCATGTCCAGGTAGATGCGCCCCAGCTGCACCACGAAGGGATGCCCCACGGCTTTGCAGGCTCGGACGTTGGTCTTCAGGATGCTGCCCAGCTGTCGCACCGTCTCCGCGTCCTTCAGGATGTCCACGTTCTGCAGCGGGGAGCCCGCGGGGTTGGTGCAAGCAGCTCGTGGCAACGAAAAGCACGTGTGTGTGTGTGTGTGTGTGTGTGGGGGGCTCACCTTGGTGGCCTGCTGGATGATGCTGTCCCACACCTGGTTGGGGAGCAGCATGTACTTCTCTATCAGGCGCTCGTGGACGGCCTGGTCCGTCTGGGCTCCGATCATGTAGCCGACGGCCTCGTAGAAGGTGTGCACCTGCGGAGACGCGCCGGCGTTACGACACCGAGCCTCACAGCCAGCGCGCGGGGCGTTGGGGGCGCCAAAGCGCGCGGGACTCACCTGCTGCGGCTGCAGGTCGCAGATGATGGTGTTGATGTTGTTGAGGATCTCGTCGATGAAGGGCATCACCTCGCCCACCTGAACCTGGACAAAGTGACGCCGGCACTTCTGGGAGATCTTGATGAAGGTGTCACACGCCATGTCCTGCACCCCGTCGTGGGTCTCTGAGCGGAGGGAGGGGGGCGGGAAGAAGCACGGCGAGCGTTTAAAAGACGGCCCGTGGAACCGTCGGAGCGCCGATGTCACATCGCAACAAGCAAAACATTTAGGAATAAGAAGAAGAACCAAGTATTTCGTCCCACCGTGCATGAACTCAAACAGCTTGTTGACGACGGTCTTGAGGAACTTCCAGTGAGCTCGGAGGAAGCGAGGGTACTGGCCCACGATGTACATGATGTTGGACGCTATGATGGCTTTGTTGTCCTTCCCTCTCTTCTGCTCACACAAGCCCAGCAGGTCCTACACACACACACACACACACACCTCTGTAACCTCTGCATGTAGGAGGCTGCCGAGGTGCAACAGAACACAACGTGCGAGTGTCCCACCTTGATGACGGTCACCAGGAACCTCTTCTCGTCCTCCTCGTGCATCGCCCCGCTGATGGAGCCGATGGCCCAGCAGAGCATGTTCAGGTTCCTCCACGACCACTCGGTGCCGTTCACCTGGTTGTGGAGCTTCTCCGTCATGATGCGCTCCGTGTCGGCGTAGTCCAGATGGGTGAGATAAACTGGAGACAGGAGGGCGAGATGAGACACGGGGGACACTTTGCTTGCGATTAACAAAACGTAGGAATTCTTCTCAGTCAGGTGGAAAAGTGAGAATTCAACCGCAGGCAGAACAAAAACTAAAAAAGGCCATCGGTCCATCACGTCTGATGAAAGCAGGAATAAACCAGACAACTCAATTAAAGTCAATGATCAAATTGACCAGTGATTAACCCCCCCTGCATGTAGGAAACACTCAAACAGAAGCAGGCCCCGACTCACCCAGAGTCTCCCTCATGTTCTTGTAGAGGTTGATGGCGTCCGTGTCCTTCATGAACTCCCGGACCACCTCTCCCTGGTCGTTCTCCACCACCAGCACCTCTTCCGGTTTGGCCATGCGGCTCACCATCAGCAGGCGCACCTTCGCGGGGGAACGGAGGAGTGAGCCGCGGCGTCTACAGGGTGTGTGTGTGTGTGTGTGCGTGCGCGCGCTGACCTGGGACAGCACGGGCAGGTAGAGGTGTCGCCGCGGCGGGACGTCGGACAGCAGCGGCGTGCTGGAGGTGGAGAAAGGACTCTCCCTGTAGAGCTCCGCCGCCAGGTGGTTCCAGTACTCCAGACAGATCTTAAAGATCTCCGTCTCCTCCACCTCCGACACCAGCAGCATGAAGTGCAGGGCCTGTGGGGGGGAGAGGGGGGCACAAGTAATTTACTTCTTCGGTCACAGCGTCTTTCTATGCACATCTGTAGCAACATGGGGGATTACTCCGCCCTACCTCCATGAGCGTCTCGCGCAGGTTGGGCCTCTTCTCGATGAGCTGTCCGTGCTCTTTGAGGAAGGTGCAGAGGAACAGGCTGAGGTTCTGGATGAAGTTCTGCTCGTCGTCTTTCCCGTTGGAGTACGCCAGGCGGATGTTGGTGTTCAAAGGCAGCATCTACACACGCGGGGAGATGAAACGCACCCTTTGTTTGGCCGCAGCTCCTTTGCGTAAATGGATTTGGTGTTAAACCACCAGACCTCCACGAAAACCACAAAGACCACGAGGTGGTAAACAGAGACCGGTTTGCTTTTTTTTAACCCCCCCAACATCCGGCCTGTGGACGGAGAAGCCGTGGGGGATTTAAAGGACGGAACTAATTGTCAATCTTTGTCATCTTATGTGAGCGCATCTCTTCAAGCGTAGACACACTAATTTATTCTTCTGTTTAAACTATAGCAACATAAAGCTTTCAGTTGGAGGGTCTCTGTGACAAATAGACATTTGTGTGAAATGGTGGATGGTTTTAACATTCCTGGTCACTAAAAACTTAATAAGTTGTAATCAACAGTGTGAGAAGAGTGGAGGAGGCTCAAACTGAACAATTGAAGTAATTTTACACCAAAGAGTCTCTGAGGAGCCAAACAGCAGAAAACATCTCCAGTTTCTTGATGTCATAATTTTTATTGTGCATTTGTGGACTTCCCCCCCCCCCTCTGCACCCTTTAACTCGGGTAAAGGAAAGTGTGACATGAATAGTTTCCTTCAGTCAGCCTGATTGAACTCACGTGGACATCGAGTGATTTACCAAACGCAGTCTTATTAAAGTGCTCTTCACAAACGCATTAGGTAATTAATTAATTAATTAATTAGAGCGATGTGCCATCGTTTGTCAGCAAAGTTCCCTTTCCCTCCATCAACGGTCTTCTGAACAAAGTACAGAGAAAGGGTTGTGTGTGTGTGTGTGTACCTGTTTGAGCTGGCACATGGTGAGTGTGAACAGGTTGACAAACTGCTCCTCGTACTGCATGACGCTCACTCCGGCGATCTCCGTCAAACATTTCAGCGTCACGTTGCGAAACATGGGAACGTTCAGGAACTGAAAGGGGGGAGACAAACCAGTCGGGTGGTGTTACCGAGGTTACCGCCGGGGGGGGGGACGTCTGAGAAAACGGCCTTTCCTTTACGTTTTTGCCGATCAGTAAATTGGAGGAAACCCATTGATTTCCGAGCTCATAACTACATTTTAAAAATCCCACATTGGGATCACGGCGATGAAGAAAAGCCGTAAATCCTTAAATGCGCTTTGCGATGAGGATTGTTTCAGCGCGAGGCTTCATTCACATAACCACGTCAGGCATTTTCTGTTCTATGTGCGATTGTTCCCGTTGCTATGGCAACAAGGTGTAGACAAAACATAGAATTACTTTTCAAAGAAACGGCACAGGGCACAATTTCAACATAACCGTACTTTTGATCAAATCAAATCCTTTGAGGAAGTCGATGAATGTTGAAGGGAAAAGATTCCCTGGTTTAGTTTAGTTCTGGGGGGCTGTTTACCTTGTAGACCAACGTGCTGATGAGCTTAGTCTCAAAGATGTAACCTAAAGGAATCCAATTCAAGAAGCGCAGGAGAGTCTCCAGTGTGGCCTGGACCAGAGGTGCATTCTGGGAGTTCTCCTACACAGAAGAAGAAGAAGAGTGTGAGAGAGCAGACGGTGGGATCCACTAAACACAAAACAGGGGGGGGGGGGCGCTCTTACCATCACAAACTGGCACAGCTGGAATATTTGGGAGAACTCGTTGCACATGCTGAAAGACAAAGAGGAGGCGGGGTCAGCGGACGGCCCCCATCTGGAGATCAACACGCACCGCTTGGTCTCTGTGGAAGCCCGTCCAGGGTTTAGAAGCATCTATGAGATCATCTACGCGTCGCCTACGGCAGCTGGATCCAACTCCGGGATGGAGGACGTCTAACCATTATCATATTATAATTAAATGAACCCGCTTAAAGCTGTGAAGACACCAAAGACGGGAGCATCCATACATCCCCGTTAATAAACCCTTTCAACGTTAACGTGACATTTCAGACCCCGTGTGGACGATCTCAGACGTGGTTGCAATCGAGCAGGTTTATAATCTGACCAATTTCAACCCCCCAAAAAAAGAATCAGCGTCAGTTTGAGGAGAACACGCCGTGCAGCCGTTACCTGTCCTTGAGGTGCTTGGCCTTCACCTGCGTCATCTGGCCACTGGAGAAGTCAAACACCTCCTCGCTGAGCAGCTTGAGGATGATCATGTTGTTCTGACAGAGGCTCTCGCTGGTGCGGCTGGCGCCCACGATGTCGCTGATGAAGGTGGGCCAGTGTTTGGGCCACTCCTGCTTCAGGATCTGAAAGCAGAAGAGCTGCGGGTCAGCAGGCGGCGCGCCGAGGCATCGCATCGTCAAACTAAAACATTTATTTACCTGTACGAGGATCATGTTGAGCTTTGAAATGTACACCCCCTCTTTCTGCAAACAGAAGAAAAAAAACAAGCAACGTCAGCGTCAAACTTCTGTGTGCGCGGCGCCGGGTGCTCTACGCCGCCGTGACCTCACCTCCATGTTGGCAGGGTCAGAGGAAGTCTTGATGATCAACCCAACGACGTACTTCTTGATGCCTGAAAATATATTGAAGAGAGTTTCAAGGAAAGCGGAAAAAGGGGTTTCCTGGTTATGACGCGTTGATTGGTTGATATCAGACTGACCTTCACACTGATTTCTGGGCAGAATCTTCCAGCGCGTTTTGATGACCGTCTCCAGGATCTGCAGCGCATAATACTGAGGAGAGGAGACGCGTTCTTTACAACAAGAGCTGATGAGCAGCAGAAAAGGGTTTGTCTGCACCGTCTCCTTGGTGACGAACAGTCAACATAAGCACTAAAAAGAGCCGCTCAGACGTCAAAGATGCAGCAATCGACGCCGGCGAACGTACTTTGGTTTTCATGTTCTGAGAGAACTCCAGGATGGTGTCGACCCTCGTCCAGGCGTCCGGGTGGTCCTTCAGGTTGGTGAGGACTTCCTGGGCCACTCGTTGCTACGAGAGAGCAACGCAGTAAAAACAACACCTATAAGACAGGAGTCTCAACAACACCTTTGGCCTCGCATTGACCACACGTGACACTCGGGAGCGCGGCGCCCACGGCGAGCTGGTGCCGACCTGGGATCCGATGTCGTGGTACATGGAGTTGACGACATTGTCCAACAGGTTGATGTCCAGTTTCTGGCTGAAGTCCAGCAGCTGTCTGGCTGGGTGGTCGGCCAACATCGTCATTTCTGCTGGCATAGAGCTTCTGACGGGGGGAGAGAACGTTTAAGCTTCAACCACAGCGGGGGGGCCACGGTATGACTGAAACTAACCAATACGGGATACAAATAACATCCATATCGACCGGCACGCACGGTGACAGCAAAGAGCAAAGCGATGATGTGACTTATTTAACCGTATATACACACTTGTAGCTTTGAGTGCACACACACTAATATATGCATTTACGCTACATATTTTGACATTACTGGTTACAAATAGTTTATTTTATACGTGACATTATAATATGTCTTGGGAGCCATTTTTGGAGCCTGGGATCTATGAATAAAACAAACTACATGTCATTAATATTTAAAATTAAAATGGTAAATCTAGCAAGCTAAAACGTTTTATCAGTGGAGGAGTGCAAGTTCAATCAAGTACAACTTTGCTATGCTACTTTATACGAATACATGGATCTCACCGGTATGATAACTTGTTACTTTTTAGGTTAAATCAGAATAAAGAATGTTCTTGCTCTCTAACAGCACTTTAGGGAGTTACTGTCACCTAGACCTCAACCACGCTTAAGTTACATACATGTATACAAGTAATATTCCAATAATAAAAGTACTTTGGATGCAGGACGTCCAGGCCAATTGTTATGTGGTATTAATATTCATAATGGAGGTTTTTCCACCATTGCCAAACCAACAAATGCACATTAATATTTAGTAAGTAAGAAGTGTGACCGTGGATTTCTCGTTACTTTTATTTTTTTTAGCTTGGTCATTTTTTCAGCAATTAATCACAAACGAGTTGTTCCTACTCAGATAAAATATGCCAAGGCAACTTCCCTCGGACCTCGTGGTCCAATTACGAAACCTACTGAAGCGCGATAGAAACGTGCAGAAAGAGGGCGGGGACAGCGCCCCCACGTGGCCGATTGGCCACGTTCAACCCGATATATAAACACTAGTTTGGTTTTTTTTTTTTAATTTTTTTACGACTGCTGAATCAAAATGCGTGGACCACAGATCGCGTGGACGTGTGTCCCGGATTCGTTGGGTCCGGTTCTTGTAACCGATAAGTTACAGACCCCCCCCCCCCCACACACACACACACACCCTCCAGAAAAAAACACCACACTACTTTTTTCAAACCCACGGATGCTAACGTTAGCCCCCTCGCTGGGTAAGTTGGGTCACTGTTGATCGGGCTTAACTTACCTTGAGTGTCCCGTCCGCTCGTCCAAAAAAAAAAAAAGCAGGTGTCGGTGGACCGCTGAGATTCTCGTTCCTACGAACACCGGAAATATGAAAGACCCCCGAGGCGTTTATAGCGGCGCAACGTTATCTCACGGAGACTTGTGCCGCTCCTAACCTTCTATAGCAGCGAGCTAACGCTAGCTTCCCTCCCCAGATGACAACCGACTATGCTTATTTTTTTAAAAGACCGTTACGCCGGATACTTATCGGTTCCCGGTAAAGCGGTTAAAAAGCTTCGCCGCAGATTACCACAGTGATAGTTGCTCTCCTTCAGCGCAGTTTAGACATGTCTTTCTTTGGACTATTCACAGATTACAGCCGACTCCCAGCGGGCTAGTAGCAACTTAGCGTGCTAATGGAAAAGCCAATGAAGATTCGAGTCTGCGGGCTAATGTGAGCTAAGCTAACGGCACCCGATTCACGGAGTCCCACTTTTGAGCGGTGATCCGGGTCATAATCACGAAGCAAAAAAAAAAAAAATAAGAGTCTCGTTTTTATTTTTCGGGCTCTAGTTCGCGCACACTGTTGGAGAGCAGAGGTGTTTTAATGCGTGCAAAGTGTGCTCTTCCTCTAAGCTCATGCTTTCCAACCGCGGACCGGTTGAAACCGGTTGAGACCGGGATATTCATTCTCGGTGTTTCGGCCCGCCGCGCGCCGCCTAAAATTTGGACTATGTACCCGCCCATCGGGCGCGTGATTGGTCGAGGCGGCGCAGTCGTCACTGAGGGGTGTCATTGGCAGAGTGGAGCTGTCAATCTATCCTCAGCCTCCCTCCCTCCTTGTGTGTGACCTCGATGATTCATAACTACAATTCAGTATTTCAGTACAAGTACACATAATCAAGGTATTTGAGTATTTTGTACTTCTACACTACTACTACATCTTGGAGGTAATTATTTTACTTTTGACTACATTTATCTGAAGGCTTTACTGATTTAACAGATTAAAATGTATTTATTCCTTTCAAGTGAAAACAAAACGATGAAGTGTTGCTTTATGGGTTAAGAAACATTTTTAAAGCCCTCTCAGCTAAAAAGAAATGCTGTTCATCCAAATACATCATAATAAATAGTAAAACACTTTACATGGGGCTATTTTTCTGTTGAATGAGCACTTCTTAAGGCCGGCGCATGCTTTTGCGTCTGCGTCGTTGCGTCGACGTTGCATACTTTTACCTAAAGTGAAGTTATTTCAGTGTGTCATTAACACTTTCACACATGTTAAAATTGTTCTCGAACAAGTGGCTTTATTGCAGATGGCCCATTGTCACTGTTATGTGACAAAAAAACAATGAATAAATATTTCTAACAATAAATATTACTCAATTTCTGTGAACTCATATATATATCCTATCGGACATCACGTTGAAATACACAATTATTTCAAGTCCCTAATAACCGAAAGCCATGGAAATTAAACAAATATTACTTTAGCAACACCAAACCGGTACAATAATAAACAGTTGACAGATCAGCATGTTTTTGTCTCTCATAACTTTAATTCATTTAAATTAACGCTGAAAATACTAAAATTCATAAGAATAAATTCACTTTAGCTGCTTTGAGTTAATGCATTATGTCCCAAAACACTACTATAACACACTGTGGAAATACTCCCCTAAAAGGAAAATATTGTATAGTTAAGTATTACCAGCTACATATACTTTACTATTACATATGAGGTTTCTGGATTGAAATGTTTGTGCTGCATTTTACTTACATTCTAATCTAATAAATCCACACCTCCTGGTGTTTTTTGTATTTACATTTATTAAAACGTAAGTGACAGTTTGAATGTTCTCATCTCATGATCTGATGTTTTTTATTGCATGTAAAATATAATCTCCTGTTAGTATAAAATAAATGCTAAAACGGCATATTATGGAAAAGGTTTGGATTAAATGCTCTATAGGATTAGTGTGGCGTAATGATATGAACCTGTGCTTCACAAGTCAATGCGTTCACTGTAAAAATCACTTCCTAAAGTGACACCTGTCACTTTTATTCTAACCTGAAAATATCCCACCAGGGAAAATAAAATAAAAGTACTGCGTTTAGTAAGAAATCACACAATGCTTCACATTCTGCAAAATGACATCATGAATGAAGCAAAATCATTGAAAAGCTTCCAAAATCTCAACTAACTGCACATTATATTGAATAAAGTAATGTTTAGTTTAAGGTTGTTTAATACCTCAGGTTAAAGATGTCACATTCTGGTGAGCGCAATATTTACAATAAGATAAAACATCTTATCGTTTAAGGAATAACAAGCCTCCTCTTCGTGTCCTTCCTCACGTGACCCGTTCTCAAACACGATGACATCACTCCCCTGCTTCCTGCTGCGCGGCGCCGGCTTCGTGGTCGCTGTCGTCTGAATAATTCTCCTGATCGTCTGAGTAGCTCTCTTCTGATTGGCGGTCGTCGTCGTCGTCGCCGTGGTCACGGCCATCCCCGTCCGAGTGGCGGCTGGCGGCCCCGCCTCCCTCGCCGCGGTTCGGCGAAGCGCTGCTGTCGGCCCGGAGGACCTTTCTGTAGTGGACGGGTTTGTATCCCGTGTCCGGCTCCTCCGGCTCGCTGAGAGGACGGAGGACAGTAATCAGATACGAGATGTCTCTGTTAAGCAATCGAACATTCATTGACGTCCACTGTCAATCATTGCTGGTTACAGGTCTCCTCCTTCTGCCTCTGAAGGTGGTTGTGTGGCTCTGTCAGCCTCACCTGGGCCCGCTGTCGCTGGAGCTGGAGGTTTTGCGCGCGGCTCCTGACGTCGCCGCCGCGGCGCCGCTGACGAACTCTTCGGTCAGGTCACATCCGCGCAGGGCGTCCGTGTAGCGCTTGACCGCCGCCTGCTTGGCGTTCCTCTGCGTCAGAGTTCAGAGGGTCAGTGTTACGACGGGGACCTGCCAATCAAAGCTACGTGGGAATATCGCCACGGCGACACTTCAGCTGGTTACTGTGGTAAAGTTTGCTAAAGCACAGAAGGTGGGAATGTGATGAGGACTTATGATCCCGGGGTCTGACCTGTGTGACCTGCTCCAGCAGCAGCGGCCTCCCCTTCACCCTCTGCTGCATCTCCTTAATCTCCTGCTGGTACTCCTTCTTGCGCTGCAGCTCCTGTTTCCTGCGGAGGACACGGAGTTGTGGATCTCGCCGCTGGGATGCGAACGGCGGCGCGGCTCGGTCGCCGCGTCCGGTACCTGAACTCTCGGAGTTTGGTCGGCTGTGTCTGCGAGAGAGCGAGGTGGGGGTCGTTGGCCTGGGCCCGCTTCAACACCACCCGCTGGAGCTTCTTCGCCCTCTGCTTCTGCCTTTCCCTCCACCGCTCCTCCTCCTCATCGGCCTGCTTCCTCTGCTCCAGCAGCTTTCTGCTCAGGGAGACAGGCGTGGGAGGGCTTTGGTTGGGGTGGGGACTTGGGGGGGGGGTAGCGGGGTAGCGGATCCAACATTTGGCTAAACCGCAGGGGGCGAGACTTCGGACTGTGGGGGTTCCAAACACAGAAGGACAGAGGGTCTAAACAGGATACCTGAGGCGGCCTCTAGCTCGACTACCGTGGGGGGGAGGGGGGTGGGGCCTACGCCGGTACCTCACGGCCTCCTCGCGCTTCTTGCTGGCGTCCGTGTCTTTGGTCGGCAGGACCTCCAGGCTGCCGGAGAGGGACGAGCAGCGGCTGGAGGTGGACCTCCGAACCGGGGCGAGGCTGGGGTCGGAGCCGGCCCCAGGCCCGAGGGCTGCTCTGATCCTTCTCAAAGTCAAGCAAG